GTGGCTTCAGGGAAATAAAAAGCAGCTCTTCTAAAATGTGGCTGACTTTTTTTTTTTTTTTTTTTTTTGTCTCTTTTTGGAATCATAATGAACCTTAAGGGCACATTTTCAAAAACCAGTCAAGTAGCAGGTAAGACACTGGGGTAAAAAAGACAAAAACAAACCTCCCAAAACCTCAGTGATAATTAGAAATGCTGCCTTAGAGTTGCAAATTTTCTAAAACTAAAAATATTCCTCCAAAGCGTCCCATTTTCCCTGCTTTCCCCCCCTCCCCCAAGCACCACCCTAGGAAGTCTGGCTGACTCATCAGCTCATTTCAGAGCAGTTTTCACTGGTGGTGCCAGGGTTGTGCTCACCATCTGAGTACAGTAGGAAGCACAATGGCTGCATTTCATTAATTGAAACATCTATTGTGTGTCTCTGTTCCCCTTTCCCTGGGTGATCTCCAGAAAGTGTGCACGCTGGAATGTACAGAGGGTAGGCAACAGCATGAAGCTGATTTTGCTTTTTGTTTTCAACACAATCACGCAAAATAAGAAAGGGCTTGCTCTGCAGAAGAATCGTCTTTTGTCTCTGTCTTGAGGGCTTTGTCAAGGCTCATCTTTGCTACCTTCCAACCTGGCACCGGTCCCCTGGAGCCTCCTGAGAGAGTGACAGGCTCTGTGCAGGCGGCACCTTTAAAACCTCGCTGACATTTAGAAACGTGCCTCACCACGCGGCCCACGCTGGACATTCTTAGGTTGTTATGTGGCCTTGGCACCCAGAAGTTGTGCTAGCTGACAGATTTGTTTAATTAAAGAGGGTTGGGAGTGGCTGAAGGGCAGCATGACAGTTTGCTCATCTCTCTCTGCAGACCACTTTTTTTTTCTTTTAAAGATTTTATTTATTTATTTGACAGAGGGACATAGCAAGAGAGGGAACACAAGCAGGGGGAGTGGCAGGCAGAGGGAGAAGCAGGCTTCCCACTGAGCAAGGAACCCGATGTGGGGCTTGATCCCAGGACCCCGGGATCATGACCTGAGCTGAAGGCAGATGCCTAATGACTGAGCCCCCCAGGCACCCCTCTCTGCAGGCCTCTTAAATAGCTTCATCACCAAAGCTGAGGCCAGAACCATTCCTTGAAAGACTGATCTCATGAGTGGTGAACGTATTCTTTTTTCTTTTTGTTTTCTGCTAGAAATCTGGATAGAATTCTGACTTGAAACAAAATTGTTTTTGTCACACTGAAAGAAGATTTCAGGTGCTGTTTGGATTTTTTTTTTTCCTGGTGAGACCTTCTCTGTTGCCTCAAATCGTACGTACTGTCCACCTCTTTAATGATGTGGCGACTGTGAAGGTCGGTGAATTTTATTTAAAAAAGAAGTGACTGCCTGCAGAGTTCACGTTCTAGATGGCTGACTTTACAAACTCTGGCTAATTACATCTTCTGTAAATGTTCCCTATTTATGAGGTTTGCTTCCAGACTGGGATTTTAGATAACCAATCTATACAAGACAAGCGTGACCATCTGACCATCGGCTTTGACCTGGGTGTGATTAGTCACATCTCAAACACAATGGAGCGGGTGCGAATTACAGCCACAGAAGGGTCCTTGTTAAGCCCAGGCTGCTGCAGTCCACAACAGAGATGCCCTAAGGGGTGTGCGTTATGCTCACTGAGGCTTTGGTGCATCTCCCATCTCCCCATCTCCCTGCCCCCCTGCTCTGTAGCATGTGAAGGGGATCTGGTGCCTTGGCTTTCAGCCCAGTGTTTAGGAGGGGCTGATTTGGCCCATCTGGCTCCTTGGGCATCTCCTTTCTTCCTCCTCATTCTGAGTTTGGCCAAAAAGTGTCAAGTTGGCTGCAAATATTTTGAACTCCTATGAAGACCATATGGTCTTTTGGATTCGATTTTCAACATTTTTATCAGTCAATACTTACTGAGCTCTTGCAGTCCTATTACCCAATGCTGTTGCAGTAGCTTCCCTGAGCGTCACAGAGGAGGGTGCCCCTGGACCATGAACACATCTTTGACATCCCCATCTCTCTCTCTCTCCTCTCTGGCTCTTACCTCTTTCTGGAATAACTTGATGTCTAGCCCATTTTTCAAGATCAACTCAGATGTCACCCACTTGAGAAAGCCTCCCCCCACTTGGGGTAATTTCCCTCTTTCTTTTGAACCTGTACTGTGTCCCTCTGATCTTTGTTACTTATTCCTTCATTCACCCCTTCATTCATTCTTTCAAAAAAAGATCTACTGATGCCTTGCATGTACCAGATTTCGGATATATCAGTGAGCTAAACCACAGAGCTATCTCCCTGCCCTTATGGAGCTTTACCTTGTATTTGGGGGAGATAACATAATACACAATATATGCAGTACACAAGTCAGTTACACAGTATTTTGGAAAGGGGAAAGTGGAATGGAATGTGAAAAAGGAAAAGCAGGATCAGGTTGATCAGATGTCCAAGGTGGAAGGAGGGGGAAGATGCAGTGTGTGTTAGGTAGACAGGCCTTGGTGACAGCTACTGAGGTTGGCCTGGTGGCCATGGTAATTTGCATGTGTACCTTCTCCTTTCCCAACTGAAAGGACGGGAATTGGGCATCCTCACTGCCTTATCTGCCAGCAGTACTTAGCACATAGTGCCATGTGTGTGGTTGGTGCTCTGTAAATGGTAAAATGGAAATGAACATGTAAAAACGAATTTGAAGACAAATAAGGAAACCCAGTCTATTTTTTTTTTTAAGATTTTATTTATTTGTTTATTTGAAAGAGTGAGACAGAGACAGGGAGAGAGTAAGGCGTGGGACAAGGACCAGAATGGAAGAAGGTGGAAGGAGGAAACAACCTTAAGCAGATTTCCTGCTTAGCCTGGAGCGCAATGTGGGTCTCAGTCTTAGGACCCTGAGATCACAACCTACACCGAAACTGAGTCAGGTGCTTAACCAGCAGAGCCCCTCAGGTGCCGCAAATAAACCCATTCTTATTTTCACTTTCTTCCTGCCCTTAAGTATAGATTTATCATAAAGGTTTTTTTAAGAATCTTAAGGGGCGCCTGGGTGGCTCAGTCGGTTAAGCCTCCGCCTTTGGCTCAGGCATGATCTCAGGGTCCTGGGATGGAGTCCCATGTCAGGCTCCCTGCTCAGTGGGGAGCCTGCTTCTTCCTCTCCCTTTGCCCCTCCCCCTGCGTGTGCATGTGCGCTCTCTCAAATACATAAATAAAATCTTAAAAAAAAATCTTAAATTCCTTCCATATTTATTCATTCTTTTCAAGACAGAATTTGTCACTGGAGCTCAGTGAGCACAGGGCTTTTGGAAAACATTGGTCAAATGCCTGAACTGCTTTTTACATGAAAAAACACAATTATAAGATATAAATTTCAATTGCAAATTAGAAGAGCACAGAGGACCATAGTTTTTTTCCTGCTTTGGCTAGGTTTTTGCTCTAACAGAATTGTTTTTCAAAGTAAACAACTTTTGGGAACTGAATAGGGGAAAACATTTCAAGAGTGTATTTTACTATCAATTTGCCATGAAAAACTCAAGCATTTCTTGACAGCCTCTGGATTTAATTAGCTGTAAGTTTACCAATATTTATCAAGTGAATGAATATTATCCCAGTGCAGAGCAATACCTCACGTGAATTATGAGGACATGTGTGTCGCCTAATCAATGAGTGTGCATGCCACACGCGTTTCAGCTCTTACCTGAGGTTTAGAGATTATGGAAAATCAACGCAGAATCACTTTCCAGGCTGCATTCAGTGTAACTGGGTCTCGAATCAGAAAAAGATCCAGGGCCATGTTGAACGGAGGCTTTCGTGCCCAATTTAAAATGTAAATGCTTGCTGCCGCTGATAAAATTCTCCCCTGAGAGCCAAAGAGCTCCGTGTAATTTAGAGCCCTGAATTCCGTGCTGCGTCTAACCTAGAGTAGACCTAGACTGATAGAACGCCAGAGTCAGGAGGACCCTTGGGGTAACCTAGCTTAGTGGCTTTCCAATTTCCGCAAAAGAGCTCTCCCATGGGCCCAGTGTGCAGAGACAGAGGGAAGAACCAGCAGGCTAGGCTCTGAGTGAGCTCGTCTCACGCCCCGTCTTCCATTTGCCTCAACACACTTAGACTGCTTACTGTTTTCACGCTTCAATGTAAGAATTTGCGTGAAAGCAGGCTTCTGAGGCTAAAGATTGTTTGATCTCGAGTAGCCCACTTGTTTTCCAGGTAGAGACACGGCAGCCTGGAGAAGGTAAGATATACCACACCAAGGGGTGTGTCTTGCAGTCCTGCCAACAGTAGAAACATGCCTTTCTGGGACTGTCTCCTTATGGGTTCACTGCACAGGCTTAGTGTGTGAATCAGATGAGACAGACAGGGAAGCATGGCATATAAAAGAACATTTAATGCATTAGTTAAATGTAAAATACTATCATCATGTTCCCTTTTCTACCCCTAGAGCAGCTGTGGAGGTTGTCAAACTGGGTTCCAGGGAGCCCTTGGTATCATTGCTAGGGGCATAAGAACCCCTGTTTTCAGGCAACACATTTTCCCTTTAATCCACTTTCTATGTCAGCCCTCCAGGTCAAGTGTCTCCTATAGGAGGGCGCTATAACTTTAAAGAAGTTTGAAAACCGCTGATCCAGAAGGATTTTTGCCTCTGAGAATAAATAGTTATATGTATTTCAAACGCTGGTGCCCTCTGTGCCTACTGAAATGACCAGGCAGACTATTCGGGGCGGAGGTTGGCTGAATGCCAGGTTCAAGAAGATGAGAGCCCTGTGGATCAGCTGGGCTTGAAACAGAGACGGACATCTGATCAGTGAAACTGCAGCTCGCTAGAGACACCTCTGAGCTACATTGAGACTTGGGGTGTTTTGAAGTCTGGTGTTCCTGAGGCCTTTCATTTTTTGGGGGGGGGGGGGTGTCTGTTTGTAACTCATGTGGTGGTTCAGTGTAAGTTCCAGGGTAGAAACTAAGCGGATCCTGGCAGGTGATGGTCCTTTCTTTCCTGTCTTCATTTTTCAGTGCACTTATATTTCAATCGACCAAGTCTCCAGGACCCATGCCATCGTGATAAGCAGACCTGCTTGGCTTTGGGGGGCAGAAATGGGAGCCAACGAGCATGGTGTGTGCATAGCCAATGAAGCCATCAATGCCAGAGAACCAGCCGCTGAGACGGAAGCCTTATTGGGGATGGATCTGGTCAGGTACTACAAGACGATTCTTTGAAACACCTGCTCAAATAGGCAGGGAAGGGGGATAGGGTTTCTTTCCTCTAAACCTCATATTTTGTAACACAAGGCCCCCAAAGAAGACATGTGCCTTTTTTGTTTTGTTTTGTTTAAAGATTTTATTTATTTATTTGACAGAGAGAGAGAGAGAGCACACACAAGTAGGCAGAGAGGTGGGTGGGGGGGGGGGGGGGGAAGCAGGCTCCCTGCTAAGCAGGAAGCCCGTCACAGGGCTCGATCTCAAGACCCTGGGATCATGAACTGACCCGAAGGCAGATGCTTAACTGACTGAGCCATCCAGGCGCCCTGACGTGTGCCTTTTGATATGAAGTTCAAGGTGTTAGAAAAAAAGAGTAGATTAGTAAGTAATAAAAACCAACTATGTGCTACATGCTTGAATTTTGAAAACATTATACTAAGTGAAAGAAGCCAGACACAAAAGGTTGCATATGGTATGATTGCATTTACATGAGGTGTCCAGAATAGGCAAATTCATAGTAGTAGAAAGTAGATGAGTGGTTGCCTGGGGTTGGGATGGGAAAATGGGGAGTGATTGCTAATGGATATGAGGCTTCTTTGTGGGCTGTTGAAATGTCTTGAATTTAGATTGCAGTGATAATTGCACAACTTTGTGAATACCCTAAAAATCACTGAACTGATTTTTTTTAAGTGGGTGATGTTTATGGTTTATGGTTTGAAATACATCTAAAATACAGGAAAGAAGGAAGGAATCATATAAAATACCTAAGATATAAAGGAAAAAAGGAGAGAGCCATGGCCCTCCCGGCCCTCTTCATCTCCATCATCTGTTTTCCTTTTGCTGCTCTGCCAGCTGCTGTGTAACAGGGGGAAGCAGACGCGTGGGTTCCGTGGGATGGGGACCTTTGCTTGCTTCCCATTGTGTCACGAGCACCCAGAGGTGTGGGCCTGTCCTGCAGTGGCTGATCAATGACTGAATGACCAAAGGCGAGAGAGAGAGGAATGACATTCTGAAATGACTTTCTTTTTTTCTGAGACCGTGAAATGCAATAGAATCATGACTGAGTTGAAAGAATATTGGGCTGGGAGCCAGGGGCCTTGATTTTCAGTGTGAATGTACCAAGTGATAACACGTCTCTGGGCCACATTTATTTGAGGGAGGCCTTAGATGGGTTGACCTCTCAAGAACCTTCCCAAACCAACATTCTGTATAAAGGACTAGAGGTTTTGACCTTTAGTAGGTTGTGTAGGGAGAACGTGCACATTTATGCCGAGACCTCTGTGGTCTGTAGCTCCCACCAACCGATGGCCAGGTCTATTAACCTTCCAGGGAAGGGCCCAGGGGGCTTGATACACCTGTGTGAGTCATGGGCCTCAAGTAAGGATTTTTCCAAGGACTTGCCATAAAACAAGAATTTGAATTTGGGAGGAGCTAACTCCAAGACCCAGAAAAAACCTAGACCAAGCACATGCTTTTGGAGGATCTAGAGTGTACCGAAGGTAGATGTCGGAGTGAGACTTGAGCCTTGGCCAGGTAAATTGCATCCCTTTGCCTGCCCCGGTCATGCTCCTAAGGAGGTGGAGCAGCCAGTGTGGAAGTAGGCATGGGGGCCAGAGAGATGCTGTTCTCATTCTGAATCACACAAACCTGCCCCATCTATGAGGCCAGACCACCTGAAAGGCTTTGGAACAGGCGTCTCGACATCGAGTGACTTGGGGCTCTAGACCGCTGTAGCCCTAGTGTGTCCACCCGTCATTGGAGCCGGATGGTGTGTAACCCTGCGGCCGTTGGCAGTCCGTGGAGCAGGCTGTCCTGTCCTCGCCCCGTGGCACCAAGGCAAGGTGGGAATGGCCAGGTGGACAAAGGAGTATTGCTTCCCGTGATCCTGGCACAGGGAGAGAAGAGTGAGAGCAGAGTTGTGTCCGTGGATGGGTGTCGAGGTCCTGCTGCAGACGCTGGGCACAGAGGGCATGGAAGTCAGCGTGGGAGGGCAAGCGCTGTACTGGGAGTCTCAGCGTGGAACACAGCGGGAGAGTGAGCTAGACCTGCACAAGAGAAATCACAGGTTCTGGAGGCGGGGTGCCCCTGGCGAGGTGTCGCATGGTGCTGGCACGTGTTTGGGCAAACTGGAGCCCCATACAAGCCCTGGGGACAGGCTTCTGCTTGGAATGTATGCATGGGGCAGTGTGACTAGAGGCTCCAAGGACCTGTGGAGGGAGGAGGGGGACCCTCCTGGGGAAACAGCTTGGACAGACCTATAGAGGTGCTCATAACACACTTACTTGCTCTGGATCCCCAAAAGCAGATGACTGCTTGCTTGCTTCCGCCTTTCCTCTTCGGAGAAGATGACACTGACCAACAGAAAAGTCTACTTAATTCCATCTTCTGGTGAGGTTATTTTTGGTCATTCTCCCAAGTTGTTAGGGATCAGCTTTGCAAATCAGTGGCTTATCACCAAGTCTCCCTACATACACTAAAATTGAGAAATGCCCGGTGAATTGATCACAATGATCTGATGGTGAAAATAAGCCTGTTACAAGAGTGCGTCCATAGCATCATCTGTTCCTCTCCCTGGCAGCACAGGGAGCGTCCCTTCAGAAAGAATCAAGCCGGGTGAACTTCAATAAGTCCGGCCTGTTGGCGGTTCACCGAGAGCTGGCTGTCGCTGCCGTCCCAGCTTGCGCCGCAGCCTCTGCCCCGAGGTTCTTGCACTCCCGCCCCCAGAATGACAACGTGGAGGAAAAGATGGTCAAATAGACATGTACTGAGCGCGTATTGTGTGCCTTCCTCTTTCCAATCAGCCTGAGAGGGATGTACTGCCCTTTTGACTTGGCAAAGGAAAAAACCAGGTTTCAGAAAGGTTAGGTTACCTAAGGTCGTGCTGCCAGTGGGTGACCAGACCGGACCTGGAAGACATGCCCTCTCTCTGAGTCACTGCTTTTCTGCCAGAGGGGGCTGCCTCTCCAACAGACCCCCCAGCTCCTTGGTTATGCTTGTATTTTCACATTCATTATCTCATAAACCTGTCCCACGGGCAACCCGAGGATGTAGGTACTTACTTCAGAGGGGACATAAATTTGAGCTCGATACAGTGTGCAGCTGGCCCAGGTTGTGCCGAAGACAATATCCGTGCCCTCTTTAGGGGGCCAATTAATTGGAAGGGCTGGGAGGAGACTGCTGTCTGACTTCAGAAGAAGGATGTACTTTTTGATAAGTGAAGCCCTAAGCCACACCAGCAGAGGGAGGCCGATAGGGTGGAGGAGAGATATGTTGAAAAGCATTGATGTCCTAACCAGGCACCATACCTAGTGAGATCTCTCAGGAAATTACAGGCACCCAGGAGAGTGGCTGGTCATGGAACACTTTTGTTATTAAGCCACATACCTGGTGTAGAATAGCACAGATCAGGGCTGCCCTGGGCAGAGCTATCCCCCCCGCCTTTTTTTTAAGATTTTATTTATTTATTTGACAGAGATCACAAGCAGGCAGAGAGGCAGGCAGAGGCGGGGGGGAAGCAGGCTCCCTGCTGAGCAGAGAGCCTGATGCGGGGCTTGATCCCAGGACCCCAAGATCATGACCCCAAGACCATGACCCCAGCTGAAGGCAGAGGCTTTAACCCACTAAGCCACCCAGGCGCCCCCAGAACAATCCTTTTGCCCAAAGGCAGGAGGGAGGATAAGCCACAGAAAGGGGGTCTTGATAAGGCTGGAGCTGAGCTGCCTAGCTCCAGGGGAGCCAGAGTTAGAAAGGAAACAGAGAGGAGGCTGAGCTGCCCTTCACAAGGGAGAAGCCGCTGGGTTCCTGACTCTTCTGTCTGTGTGGGAGGGGGGTGCCCAAAGACAGAAAACACCCCCATGATTTGAAACCAAACGTGGTAGAGATGTATTCTGAGTTCAAGTGCCGTGCATCTACGTCTCAGCCCGTGGATGGAACGTGTTTACGCACGTTGGCCGGCTTCCTCGCTCGGCTTCGGCCCCGTCTTTGGTTGCCGTGCTAACAACCACATGCTAGGAAAGGACTGAGGTACACTTCTGGTTTTCTTCCTCCAGGCTTGGTTTAGAAAGAGGGACGACAGCTAAAGAAGCCTTAGATGTCATCGTCGCCTTGTTGGAAGAACACGGACAAGGTGGGAATTACTATGAAGACGCAGACTCCTGCCACAGCTTCCAAAGCGCATATCTGATCGTGGATCGTGAGGAGGCCTGGGTGCTGGAGACCGTGGGGAAGTACTGGGCTGCCGAGCGGATCACAGGTGAGCCTGTGTGGATGGGGCGGCCGAGGCGGGTGCTGCCGGATCTGCAGGAATCCTGCTGCTGGTGCCCACCCTCTCTGTGCTGGACCTTCTCTCTGGGCTCTGCTTCTAGAGACGAGCCTGGGGTGTGGGGACGTCAGCACTTGGGAAACACACCCTTGACATTTCTTATTTTCTATTTGCTTTCTGGGCAGGATCCAATTTTGACTACCAGCAGTTCCGTGACCCAAATGGTTACTTTGACTTGGTCAAAGGAATGCTGATTTTCCCAGTCTGTTCAGTCAGTGAACCACTACGACAGGGAGCTGCCCCTCATCACCTCCAGTCCCATAGCTCCTTGCACTTGGAATGTTCCTCTGAAAGAGGAATTTGGATCTGTGTGGGGACCGTTGACTGCTTCTGGGCCAACAAGCTCATTTCTCTGTGAGACAGTGTTTCTAGAAGAGCAGAGGACTAGGGATGCACCCGGAAGGATGCATTCAGTTGTTGCTCTACGCTCCCTGTAGCATTTGTCTTGAGATGGTTCAGAGGGAGGAGATGTTAGAGGGGGTGTGGTTGTCCTGTCTCATCACTTAGCAGCCTCACACTGGGGACCGGATGGGGCCCCAGAAAGGGCTAGAGGGTTTCCAAGAGGACTAAGGAGTTCTAGGAGAAAATTGGCCAGGGAAGCCCCACTGACATTCCTTAGGACTGAATGACAAGTACATGGACTGTGAGCTGCCATTCCCTGACACAGCTGGTAGGTCGTAACACTCTCATATTGGACCGAGATTTGGTCTATGTATTTTTCTCAACTGAGTTTGTAGGGACGTCTCTTCAGGTTTCTCAGAATCAATGATGGGGATGATAGGGATGAAACTGGTTTTCCATCTCTGCCTTAAGAGGGATTGGAGCCGAATCTGACCTGAGTTAGAAGCAGAAGCTCTACTGTAATAGTTGGGAATCAAGCCCATTGTTTTCCATGGCCACCGTCAGTGTGGGGATCAGGGTTGCCATGGGCGACAGGTACGTTGTATCCTGTGTGAGGCTGGCTTGTGGTGCTTGCCTGGAGGAGGAAGGCTTCTTCTTATACTCACAAGGGTGTCGAATGGGCTGATGGCACCCTTGCAACGATGTCAGGGAGTTCCCCCACCCCCACGTGCCCAGCACACACCCACGTGTGCCTGCTGCCCTACTCCTGCAGTCCTCACAGGACTGATGCAGCCCGTGTGGGCCACCGTATCACCAAGCCTCCCGCTGAGCAAGAGCTTAACACTCCTTTACCAAAAATTTCTCCTAGGATGAAGCCTTACTATCAAATGGTTCCATCCAGAGGGCTAGTGGTCCATGCTGATGAAGCAGTCCTAGATTGCTTTTCAGTAGAACTTAAAACTTTCTGATCTATACCTGCCTTTCACAAGCTTCATTGCCCTTCAAGATACACCTTAAAAATATCCATCTCCTCAAAATGAGTGATGTCTTTTCCCAACTATTGAAATAAAGCCCCAGCCATTCCTTGGACTCCTTCCTTGGACATGATTTCATGTCCTCACTCCCTGCAGCAGGGTGCCAACAGTAGGATCTCCTCAGTCTGGTCCCTGAATGCTCCCATCCCTGAAAGCAAACATCTATTATAAATCAGCCCTTGAGGGACATACTGTCTGTGGAGAGTTGTGCACAAGATTTTTTTGATAGCTTAGTGTGAAGAATGCCAAAATCACTTATTTAGGCCAGAGCTACTTTTTATTTTTAATTTTTTAAAGTGGTTTTATTCTTGTGTTGTCCTCTGGAGAGATGAACAGCAAAAGGCTAGTGCCCGTAAGCTAGGAATACTTGTTCTGGAAGAATAAGTCAGTGAAGCAGAACATGCTGGAGAACTGAGTCCAGTACTGACCTTTTCTCTCAGATCTGGTTCTCAGGCAGTCATGGCTTTATTGCGGCCCGTGGCTTGAGCTCTCTCCCTCTACTTCATTGTCCAAAAATGTAGAAGATCAGCATGCTCCCTGGAAGTAGCAAATATAGAGGGCCTTTCTGCACTACAGCTCATAACTTCTTAGAGTTCTGGAGAGCATTTTGAAGCTTGAAGGCCAAGTCACCCTCAGGGTCTTTGAGGCTGAGGCTTTGGAGGAGCCACAGTGAGCCTGCCAGCAGCCGGGAGGATTTCTGGCCTCGCCCTCCTCCATCAAGCCGAGTGTACTCAGAGTGCAGGTCTTTCTGATTCTAGACTTCTTTAGTCACACTTATATTCTTATGAGAAAAAATTCCCGTAGATCTCCCACACTCATATACACGGACACATCTGTACATACACACACACACACACACACACACACACACACCCCTACTGATAGACTCCGAGACACATGTTGACAGGTGCATTCCAGTATTTTAGAATAATTCATTATCAGTGCCACTGTGGTTTTCTAAATGTTGGCACCCGAAAGAAAAAAAAAGCTGAATGAAGAAGTATTATATTTGTATTTTCCAAAAATGATGTACTTGGGCAGAGGATGGAAGTGTAGAGGGTTCCTTCAAGTAGAAGAAGGTTAAATTGGGGAGGGAAATCTCTATAGTTGCGACATTCATAAGTCTTGTTTGTAGTGCCGTGTCTCTTTAAGAAACCTTAGTAATAAATGCTCGGAGCTCATTTAGCCATAATGATGGCTTCTCCTGATTGCTTTTGAATGTGAATTGTAGATCAAGTGACTGTTGCTCATTTAAAATGTGGTAATGCCCGGTCACTGGTCAAACCTTCTGGGAGGTCTCCTTAAAAGAGGACAAAGGTTTGTCTGTTTCTCTCTCAAAAATAGAGTCTCTTCCCCTCTGGAGTTAAAGTTGAGTTGCAGAGAAGGGATTCCCTGTAAATTTCCATTTCTTGATTAAGTCTTTGCAAGCCTATTTCCAGCTAATGGGGCTTGTACTCTCTACAGAGGGAGTGAAGTGCATTTGCAATCAGCTTTCACTCACCACTAAGATCGATGCGGAGCACCCTGAACTCCGGAGTTATGCTCAGAGTCAAGGCTGGTGGACGGGAGAGGACGAGTTCAATTTTTCCAAAGTTTTTTCTTCAGCTGAAGACCATCTAGACTGCTGTTCAGGCAAAGACAGCATAGAAAAGAAAGAAGGTGAGTTAGCGTATCCCGTATGATTCTCCCTCTCATACCTGTTGTCTTGTAGCTATTGTGGAGAACGTGTCTGATTTTAGGAGAGTGAGCAAAGAGGAGGAGATGAGAATAGAACCTGTCCATAGAGACCGACCTGTGCTGACGGCCCTGAGGAGCCGGCAGGATGACGTGTATCTCTTGTTGGAGGATGCTTCCTCAGCCATGCTAAGTGCTTCTCCTTCTGACGTTCTTTCTCCATCTCCACTGGTGTCTTTGTACTTGTCTTTATGATATTTAGTATAGCCTTCCTTCTACCTCAGCCTTTGTGTATTTGCCTTATTGTCTTCTGTGTTTTCTGCTCTCATTAGCCTGCTGGGCCTTGAGGGTGGGGCACTGTCCTTGACTCATCATGGGATCCCCTTGTGGTGCCCATTACGGTCTTTTGCTCCACGAACATTTATTGATTTGAACTGTTGACCTGAATTCTCTTCCTGAACCCTCTGTCTTCCCTCCCGTTACTGACTCCGGCAGAATCCCAAATTAGGTAAATGTAGTGACTGGGTAACTTGTTACTTTGGTGCCTTCCAAAGAAACCACCGTGGCCACATTTTGCATTTGCCAGTGATACATATGTTTTGTAAGGTAAACCTGTGATCATTTAGAACAGGGGTTGGCAGATTATGATATGTTGGTGGCCAGAATTTTGTAAATAAAGTGTTATTGGAACACAGCCATGCACACTTACTTAGAGATTGTCGAGGGCTGTTTCCATGCTGTAGTGGCGCAGTTGAACACTAAGTTACCACAGGGATGCTGTGACCCATAAGTCTGAAATATTTACCATCTGGCTCTTTAAGAAAAAGTTTGCTGATCCTTAGTATAGAAGAACACTTCAAGGACTTTTGCTGTGGAGCTTAATTAATGGATTTAGCGTAGGAAAGTAAGAAAGTACCCATTTAAAAATGGGAACTTAAAAAAAAACAAACCTGTAAGAGTTAAAAAGAAAACAAGTTTGATAAAAGTATATAATGCCGCATGTGACGTAGTCTCACCAAAACATCACACCTAAGTCTGATGAAGCCTCTGGATCTAAGTACAGAGGATGGGGTAGCATTAAATAACACCAGGGGATGCCATCTGCAAAGTTCAGACTGTGGGAAATTCTACAGGAGAAATGGCCCAACAAATACAATGCAAGGGAATAAAATGAGAGGCAGAGATTGAAAGAGATTTGAGACATTACCAACCAATTGGATTCTGATTTAAATCAAGAAACTCATTTATGAGGCAATGAGAACATTTGAATACTGGGTAGTTGAAGAAATCAAGGCTTTTACTGTTAATATTTTTAGGTATGACATATTACAAATAGAAACTTACAAAGACTTCTACTTACAAAGATAGAAGGAAGGCTATACTAAGTATCATAAAGACAAGTACAAAGACACCAATGTCTGAAGAAGAAAGAACGTCAGAAGGAGAAGCACTTCCCACAGTTGAGGAAGCATCCTAACTTACAAAGACAGAGTTTTGTTAGGGAAGTTTAAGACCTTTTCCCTTTGTGATGCTTTGAATCCATCCTTGTGAACACAGACTGTAAGAATAGTGTTTTAATGAATTCTAATCCGAGAGAGAAAATGTGAAGCTGGGGTCCTATGGAGTCAAGGAATTGTTGACACATTAAATTGAAGTCAGAGCCGATAGTCAAAATGGCTCTGAATATTGTGGATACTTCTGTATGTGACTCTCTCCCATTTCAGAGAGGATGTTCTCCAAATACCATATTGACTCTAACCAGCAAGAGTGTACCAGAGAGCTTGCTTAGTGGAGTGTGTGTAGACTGCATGTACTTTCCTATAGATAATCATTCTATTGTGTACTGTACTTGTTGAGGAATTGCTAAGTGCTCTAACAAAGAGACTTCAAAATAATATGGCTTAAAGAAAATGGAAGCTTATTTTTCTCTCATGGTCTAGATGTATATGGAGAGTCCAGGGCTGGTGGGTTGTTCTGCCTGAACACAGGACTTCCATCTGTGGTCCACTTGCAGGCGTGTCCTAGGCAGCAACAAGAGGTGGGAAAAAAAAGGACAAGCCGTCCTTTTTATGGGTGTGACGGGGAAGTTGGCCATGTCTTTTCATTTCCCATTGGTCAGATTGGTCTTGTGGCCACACATAGCTGCAAGGGAAGTTGGGAAATGTAGTTTGTAGCTGGGCAGTTGTGTTCCCAGCTATCCATCCAAGGGTTCTGTTACTAAAGCAGAAAAGGAATGAATGGAATTTGGTTAACAACCTGCCACTGTTACAGTTTCTCTCTTTCTGTGCCTCTTTCTTTTTTTTCTTTACAGAAAGTATCACTGTGCAGACTATGATTGACATCTTACGGGACAAAGCCAGTGGCATCTGTATAGACTCCGAGTCTTTCCTTACCACAGCCAGCGTAGTGTCCGTTCTGCCTCAGAAAAGAAGCTTGCCATGCATTCACTACTTCACTGGGACCCCAGATCCTTCCAGGTTTGTCTGAGACACAGTCTTGCTGGCAGAAAGTGTGCTCTTCCCTTGAAAGCTCATCCAATAAGTGTACACTGCATTCCTGTAACTCCCCTTCTGTAGCTGAGTCACATTTTTCCATCGTGGTCCAATGTGGCCGATGTAGCACAAAGAACTTTGACTAAAGGAAACTCTCAGCTTTAGTCACATCATTTTTTTTTTTTTTTAAAGTATGCTCCGTGCCCAGCATGGAGCCCAAACTCAGAGCTCAAACTCATGACCCTGAGATCAAGACCCGTGCTGACATCAAGAGTCAGACGCTTAACTGACTGAGCCACCCACCCAAGTGCTTGCTCTTAGTCACATCATTTTTATGACATTCATGGAATCAAATTGTTTTAAATTCAACGAGTATGTATTGAGTTAATACCATGGGCCAAGTGTTGTGCTATATCTGAGGGATGCAAACATAAATAACCACACAGTGAGACAGATGCAGAAATGCCCAAGATTCAGCAAAGCAATCAGTTCCTATAAGTTAGAGGACAAAATGGTCCAGAGGCCATGCAGATGGAAGCAATGTCAAGTGCACCAGCTACTTCCTTAAGACATGATGTTTCAGGGAGATGCTTTCTGCCCATATACTTAGCAAAGGGGTTGTACTGCTCAGTGTTTAAGAATACAGTGTCTGAGTAGATTGCCAGGATTTTGATTTCCATGTGTCTCACTTAGTAGCTGGTAAGTTACTTAACCTCTGTAAGCTTTAGTGTCTGTACTGTGCAATGAGGATAATACTGGCTCCTACTTTGTATGCTTCTTGGGAGGATTAAATGAGATAATCCAAGTAAATACACAGTAGGTTTAACTTCTCTTTATTAAAACTATTTCTGATTTGCCACGCACACAGCAGCCCCGTTCCCTGGTCATGTTCAGTCACATATACCACAAGTCATATCATCAGTGGCTTAGGTAGACACAACCATCTAATGGTCTCTAATTCTGTTCATTATCAGCATTTTTTTGAAATTCTGTTTTTGAAAGTTTTTGAAAAATACAGGTGCCTTGACCCAAACCTGTTGTATCAGAATCTTTAAGGTGGGCTTAGGAATCTGTCAACTAAGACTGGTCCTCAGCCTGGGAAACTCTAGAAGACTTTCTGTTCCAGTAGTTTCACTGATAATGTTTAGGGGGTTCCATTGTCTGAAAACCATCATTACTATTTGAATATTGGGTGTCAAATCTTTGACTGCTACCAGGAGGTCTGTAGCTGTTCAGTTTCATTCCTTCCAGCTGAACATATTTATTCTTCTCCTGTTGTTTCAGGAATATGAGACAGTGATGGTGTCTATCTAGGGACTTTTTCTTAAATGACTCAGGGGAAAAGCCCAGTACCTCTCTTGACCCTTTGGCCTTACTTCTTTACTTTTTTGTGTTTAGAGAAAGAGATAGAAAGCATGTGCATAAGTAGGGTGGGGGGAGGGGCAGCAGGAGAAGGGGAGAGAGAATCTTAGGCAGGCTCCACACCCAGCATAGAGCCCAATATGGGACTCAATCTCAGGACCTTAAGATCGTGACCTGAACTGAAATCAAGAGTCGGACACTTAATGGACTGAGCCACCCAAGCACCCCTCAGCCTTAATTTTAAACTACTGCTAATATCAACAAATCCTTCTGGCCGGAGCTGACTATTAAATTCAGTATAAGCTATTCTTGGTTTTTCATTCATTCATTTATTCATTCATTCACTGAGACTTATTAAGCACCTACTGTGTACAAAATATCATGCTTCTTGGGTCCGAGGGATGAAGTATGTACAAGGCAACAGGTGGTTTGGAGGCGATGATGAAGGAGCAGACCTCACCAAGGAAGGATCCTTTGAGTGCCAGGCATTGCGGGAAGAGGAAGAGTTTGTTAGGTACAAAAAGCGGGAATGGTATTTTGGGCAGAGGGAACATGTGCAAATGCAGAGAGCCCTGAAACAGTGTCCAGTGTAGGCTGAGTTTCCTTCTCTCCTCCACCCCCACTCCTCCAGTAAAGGAGCCCAGCCGCCCTCATGTGGCCCCTCTTCTGGCCTCCGGCTGTGAGCCTCCACTCCACAGGGTTCCATCCAGCCCCCCAGGATGCACTCCCGTTTGATCCCAGCTGCCTCCTCTTGATCTTACCTCCCAGGGCTCGATGCTTGGTCTCATGGATGGCCCCGTTCTCGCCCCCTTTGTGGTCCACCAGCTGTGGGCGCGTCCTTCCTCCCCTGTCATCTGTACTTCTTCTCATGGACTCTGACTTCGCTTGCCCCCTGCACTGGGGGCTCAGCCTCCTCTTGAGAACACTCTCTGCCGGCTCACAGGGGTACACATGCGCACGTAGAGCCCTACTTTCAAGTGACGGGAGTGCTCTGCCAACGTATTTGGACATATTCATTAGGAAGCAGGAGCCTTTGAGGGAGTGGGTTGAACCGAAGAAAGTCTGTACCACCCCTTTTGCTTCTGATGTCTCAGGCACCTGCTCCAACTGTGCTTAGAAGACAGGGCTCTATGAGGCCGGGACGCTGATACAAAGCAATGCTGTTTCGCAGAGTGAAGTACACGGCCTTGTACAACTCTAAAATCAGGCTGGGAAATAGCCTTCTCATACTGAATATGGAAAATTTCAAGTAATTTTAGAAGAAAATTATTCACGGTTGAATTAATTGAAAAGACCTTTGAGAAGATGAAGGGCTTTCCGTAAGACATTCGTTTTTATCTTCCAGGGCTAAGTGAGCAACATTTCTTACTGCGACCATGAGAACTGTCACACATTCAACATTTCCATGTGTCTCCGTAATTGGGCATGTTTAACATTTTGTATTTTGTCAGCAGGAAGCATAATTACCTACTCTTGGGCTTTTACGTAGTAAATCGGGGAAATTTTAGCTGGCTGCTGCTGACGCTGAAAGCATGAGAGAGATGTTTTCAGGAAATTATTTCAGAGCAGGGGGGTGGCAAAAGATGATGATCCAAGAGCAAGACTCTGTTCTTGATCCCTCCCAATTGATGTGTGGAACCAAAGGACATGATCTGACTGTTCTGTCTGCTTCAGCACGTCTCTGCCCTTTGCTCACCGTGTTCATTACAGATCTTTCTCTTGAAATAACTTGTTCTTGCATTCTCTTTTCCTCTTTCTCCTTCCCTCCTAGCATGTAGTAGGTATTATGCAAGTTTGAGAGCTGGATGGAGATGCAGAAGTCAGAGATTGGGTAATACAGGGAGATGCCAGAGACCTTTCGTTAATTTTACTGAGAAGGCAGATTCCATAATATTAATATTCTGCTGAGTCAGCCGGTACCTCATTCACCCACATCGTGACACCGACTGGCGTTAGCACTCTGGTTCTGACCTTTGCAAGCCTTGGCGGAAGCCGACACTTGCCAAAACTTCAGCGACATGAAGAATTGGGAGAAGGAAAGAGTAGAGAAGTCCCTTAGCACTTTGAGACTGTGAGCTTTGAAGTCCCACAGGGTGCTGGAGCCGGCGAGAGCTGATTATGTGCCTCTCTTGCCAACAACCCCTGTGTTCAGTGACATCACACTGGGAACTTGCCGTGGGTCACATCGCAGAAACTGGCAGACCTCATGAGTCAGGGCTTATTTGTTTCAGATGAAGTTGTCCTACTGGCACATCACCAAGAGGGCCCCACCTCTGAGAAAGCCCACAAATACTCAGTGTATAGGATGGATAAACCAAGAGGGAGAGAACCCTGAAAAATGTTCCATTTTAAATATTAGAAGGCTCTTTCCCAACCCATTTTTCTAATTGTATCAGGCTGTGTACTTAAACCTAGGAAACAGAGAATAGAGAATTTCTAGGAAAATAAGGTTTTGACCTTGTTTAGCTAATGGCAAAGAGCTGGGGAGATGCAAGGGACCTGGGGTGTGTGTGTACGTGTGTGTGCGTGTGGGTGCCCACACACGCACGCGCATTTTCTCCTCTTCTCCCATTGTACCAAGCTTGAGAGGCTAAATTGGATTAACTGAGACTGTCTCATCTGTTAATTCAAATGTAGCAACCAGTGGCACTTCTTTGTTGGTGGAGATAACACCGTGAGCCGTGGACACCCCAGCCTCTGTAAGTACAGCTCTGGTCCCGTGTGGGGCACAGACGCCCACAGAGCTGAGGGCCCCATGTAAAATAGCAAACTTTCCATTCCATTTCATCCTGAATCTGTCCAGCACCATCTCTCTCCTCTCTCCTACCCTACAATTTTGACTTCAGAACCTTCCAGAGCGTCTGGATCCAGCCCGAAGCTTGTCCCATGCTCCAAAAGTACTAGTTCTCTTTCCCTCTAAATAGAAAGGCTCTTCACTGATAGGTTCTGCTCTCAGCCAGATGTGGCTGTGACTGTGTGATTAAAGTGACTCACAGTAAAATGCCAGAGTGACCCATGCAGAGGGACACCTGCAATTGAGAGAAAACTGGCTATTCTGGGTTCTTCTGAGCTTGCTTGAAAGTTTAATAGATTCATCTGAGCAGGAGCCTGTGCTGCTCCCCCGCTCTGTTCCAGACTCCCCTCAGCGGATCTGCCGGGGACTCCAGGGCCCCGGATAAGCCTGGCTTAGTCACTAAGGGACTACCTGCACCTTCAGTGAGGAGAGCCGTGGTTGAGGTCAGAAGTGCTAGCTGGCTGCTGATAATAAAATTCCAAATCCCAAAGCACAAAAAGGGTGTTATTTTTCTGACAATGTGTATAAAAAACCAATAGAAGGCTATAATATTGAAAAGTAGTGGGGAAAAACTGACCTCCGCTTCAGACATCTGAATTTAGTTCCCCATTTGCCACTTATTTAGAATGTGCCTTTGGACCAAGCACTTAGCTGCTAGGAGGCTCAGTCTTCTCATCCGTAAAATGGGATGGGAATTTTTGCCCTGCCTTATTCATTGCTGTATCCCGAGCACCTAGAACAGGTATCTGCTGCTCAGTCATCACTCAACACGTATTTCCTGATGAGTGAATGGATAAATAGGAGTAGCAGGAGAACTGAAGGCAAGCACTTTGAGAATTATGATACACTATAAAATGGTAGGGGATTTCATGGTAATTTTGTTTTCCTTCCAAATGAGAAAACAAATGAAAGGAAAACAGATTTTTTTTTTTTTAAATTTACACTGGCTCAGTGCATCAATCATGAGGTTTTGGAAGACAGAAAGGACAGATATGGCGAAGATTCCTCTAGGGGAGCGTGTTTCTTGGCTGTGGCTCCAAGTGTCCCCAAGGCTAACATTCTGCAGACCTCTGAGCCAGACCGTGGAAGCCGTGCTGTGCTTCTTGTCATCAGACCTGAGATTTATCTCAGGGAGAGCTGATGGTTGTGGTGACGTGGTTTCTTTTGTGCTGCTCATGGCTTCCTTTGCTTCATTGTCCCTTCTGAGGCTGGATTGTCTCTTCAGAGTAGCTCAGCCAGCTTTAAACCTCCTCATTGACCAGCTGCTGGGCTGCCTTTTGCTACTGGAAGCACTTTCCCCTTCTGGTCCTATTAGCTTGTGTTCCTGTCACAGTGCACCATGGAGGGGCTGAGCGACCAGGGCAAATTCCGGGATTGATGGCTTCTCTGAAACCAAGGACAGAGCAGAACCAGCTTTCTGGACCCCACTCAGCTGTGTCCCACATCAGAGCCATCCCTGGGACACCCTGGGAGAGCTCCAAAGTGTGACAAACTATGCCCTGCCCTGTCCGGTGGCCTGGGAGGGGTGGTGCCTTATGACCCCGGGGACAGTTTCAGCTTTGCTACTGGCTGGACATGTGACCTTGGTCAAGTCCTTTACTTTCTGGGCCGTTAATGAACACAGATTCGATCAAGTGGCATTTGAGAAGCTACCATTTGAGCTTGAAGTGTGGTAAAGTGCCAGAGATACTCCTCACCTATTTGGAAGTTTAGTGTGATTTTCTCTGAGGCTTGGCAAGAAATCAGAAGGTTTGGGGACCACTGAGTTATCCACATTCTGCTTTTTTTGGATACGTAGCCACAAATATTCAAGCCCGAGTTATAATTCCAACATTCTGACTTAAATAAATATTAGTACTATTGCCATTTGTCATCAGCAGTAATTTTTATCCAATCTCATCCACGGGGTCACTGTGCCAGAGTGGCCCTGAAATGCATAGTCAAGTCAAGCCTTGCCAGAGGCCAAGCCTGAGGCCAGCCCCATTGCCCAGCGTTAGCCGTGGAGGTCACAGCTCTGACCCTTTCTGGCCAGCGACCCTGTGGTTCAGCCGATGTGCACTGCACAGGCTTTGGACTGTGTGGCGGGAGCCCAGACCCCGCCTCCCATACAGACGAAACCCTGCCCACCCAGGAGGCTGCAGCTGAACGTCTGTTGGAGGACAGTGTGCTACACACGGACTTTTCAGGAGCCCCGCTTGCTCTTAGCCCTGAAGGGTGGGGTGCTTTCCTTCTGTGGGTAGGAGGGTCGGATCCATGTACATTCAAGAGGCTGGAGGAGGTGCCCATTGGGGGTTTGCCAGCCCTCTGTGCAGGGTAGCCCCGCTGCGTCCTGGGCAGGGTGGGTCCTGGGGCAGACTTGGCCCAGTGGAAGTAGGCCGGCCCACGTGCCATGTGCTTCCAGGAGAAGGGGCTGAGGATGGGTCTAGTCTCCTGTAAATGTTCGCATCCCCTGCAGACAGCAGGGTGCCTGGCACCCATCCCTAATCAGCACCATCCACTCTACCAGCTGGGAGCATGAAGGTCTCACTGCTTTTAATTCTCACATTAACTTAGCTGGAGCCCAGTCTTGCAGAGTGACTTCTGACTCTTTCTTCCTCTCCTGAGCCTCCTTCCCTTGATAACCTCAGGGAACCAATCTAAGAGGTCAGTTCTCATTACAGATTTTCCCCACTATCCGCAAGTTCACTTTACCCCACTTCACTTTTATGAAAGATGGACATTAGTATGGTAACTGTTTTCACTACACACAAGAAATCCCAAGAGGATTTTTGCTTTTGCAAAAATGGTAATTGCTTCTTCGCCTTATGTCGTTTTGGCTTATGAGAGCTTTCCGAGGAACGTTCTCCCTTCAGAAACGTTCTGCTTTCTAACAGCTGGAGAAACCTAGCTGGGCTCCTCAGACCTGGTGTGTCAGGAGTCCCCCGGGTACCTTGTTCACATGCAGGTTCTGATTCAGCAGGATAGGGGTGGGGCTGTAGGGGGCTGCTGATGCCTCCCGTCTAAGGACACAATTTGGGTAGCCAAGGTCATTGTTTCCGATTCTTTTCCGATCGTGACACACCTGGAAATGTTTGTGGGGCACACTGGCAAGGCTACTGTGGCCACCTCAGGCCCAGCCACCTCAGGGCCCAGGGGTCAATGTCCCAGCTCACTGCTCCCCCACCTGAGGCATGGAATGGCTGAGGGGCACCAGCTTTGAGGAGAGAAAAGAACCCAAATCTGATCAGTACGCGTGGGAGTCTGGTTGTAGTCTTCTCTGTCTTCTTGTTATTCCAGGTGCTGCCCCATGTGCAGCTACATGCAAGCCACCCTTGGGGTACAGGAGCACTGCCGTCGTTCAGCACTGTTTTCTTTGGGTGCAGAGAGAGGAGAAGAAGGCTCTCTCCTTATGTTACACTCACATGTGGTCTCCATACTCCCTGTTGGCTTGGGATCCCAGGATGCAGTTTTTTAGAAACGTGGCTCTTTTGGTGTATGTGTGTGTGTGTGTGTGTGTGTGTACATGTGCTCACGTATGCACGATACATGTGTGCACGTGCATGTGCTCACACACACAGTCGTTTTCCGTAAGGTGCACCATCGTGGCAGAGAGCTGAAGGAGTTCTTGCATTAGTCACCTCCTATGCCCGGAGCTCCTCTTTCACACAACTGGGCTTCTGTTTCTCTGTAGTGTGTCCGGGGACTCTGGGAACCTTTGTGTCATCTGCCAATAGGTAGAACCTTAAAAAAAAAAAAAAAGAGAGAGATGGGTTCTCAGACCCTTCCTTTCCAGGAGGCCACTTTCAGCAAGCTGTGGTAGAGAAAGGCAGACCTCTACCAGTGTCTATAGATGGCCCATGGCGCCCTTTCCTCTGGACACTATGTGTCTGTTTGCTTTGCTTTACATAACTAAAAGGGGCCTCTCAAATGGTTTTCCCAGAACAAAGCAAGTCTGTTTTGATGTCTCCTTGCTGTTAATAGGAGAATTTGCAGCTGGTAAATGACAGTTTTACTAAAATATTTACTAAAATATGCAGTGGTGTCTCTGTCTTGGCACCCACCCACCACCCACCACGAGCTGGCTCAGGCAGTGTTTGCTGAGCGGAAGGATGGTCTGGTGTCCTCAAGCCTCAAGCTCAGTTTGGCTGAAGCACCTCTCCTTTCCCTCCAGGTCCATATTCAAGCCTTTCATCTTTGTTGATGATGTGAAACTTGTCCCCAAAGCACAGTCTCCTTGTTTTGGGGACAATGACCCTGCCAAAAAGGAGCCTCGGTTCCTAGAGAAGCCAGACCGCCGGCATGAGCTGTACAAGGCCCACGAGTGGGCACGTGCTGTCATCGAAAGTGACCAGGTGAGCCTGGCGCCAAGCCTGCGGAGGGGGGCGTGGTCTGCAAAATGGGAGACAGGGGAGCAGTTATGGAACTCATCACTTTCCTCCTCACCAGCTTGCCTTTCAGAAATCCAGGTACCCAAGGCCCTTCCTAGAAGGCTGCTGTTAATTTTTCCAGCCAGTCTCTTGAATCCAAATGAAACAAAGCCTTTACTTTTGATGTTGTTCCAGAACTCAGTGGGCTTGGAATATCCCTCTTTCATTTACTGTTTACCTAGGAATAACAGAAACATGTGGTTCTAGTAGGGATAACTGCTTTTCTGCTGTCTAAAAATCTTTCTATACTTTTGGGGGTACAGAGTTGTACAAGATGGCAAAACTTTACTTAAAGGTACAGTCATACGTTGTTTAAAAAAAAAGTAACTCTGAAAAACTTCTGGAAATGGATGGTAGTCATGGGTGTTCAACAGTGTGAATGTCCTTATGCCACTGACCTTGTACACTTAAACATGGCTAAAACAGAAAATTGTAGGTTATGTATATTTTACTATAATTTTTAAAAGTTTTAAAAAAAGATTCCCAGATTCCGAGTTTTTTAAAAAAGTTATTCTTCCTTGTACAGCTTCCCACACCCATCCTGGCCCAAGCTTTGGTAAATGAAGTCACAAGACATCAATTCAAACAAGACACACACTCTGTATTTGCCCACCGCAGCCGTTAGTGACAGAGCACGTATAAAACCCAAGCCTCTGTTTTGCTGAAGGGGAGGGGAAGGAACATGGTCGTTAAATGCCCACTGGCCTCCCACGCATGTATTTAACAACTTAGAACAGGTCCAGATTGTCCTGAAGAAAGGGACACCTTGTGGACGAATGGGTGCCTGCATTTGTGTGGACTGGGGGAGCTTATTTTCTCCTTCCTAGCTTGGTGGACTCTGTGAAAAGCATAGAAAGAAGGGCAACATCAACAGTAAATCCAGGAGAATCCAGAAAGAATCTCAGAGAAGGGCAGCCTTGCTTTTCCATGCCACAGAAACAACCATTTGGACGTGTGAAAGTCACAGTGTTTTCACATCTGCCTTCCCTGCGGAACGTGTCCCCAGAAGTATGAGCGCAGCCAGCACGCTGCGCTGGGTTTTGCTCAGGGCGGTCCACCTCGCTTCCCGACTGTGCATGTTTTCTAGGTGGAGGACAGCAAGCCCCGAATAAAAATGCCAGTTGGTGCATGGTTTTATGGATGTTTGGCAACTAGAAGGCAGAGGGAAAAAGGGCTGTGTGTTTGAGCTAGTCTGCGCAAAATATCAAAGAGTTGAGACCGATGAGGTTGGGTGGGCTTTGACATTGAGAAATGACCACTGGTTTGTGTCAAAGCCTTGTTAGGAATTGGTGGATGGGTGGTGACAGCAGCTTCTCCATTCTGGGACAAATTAGGCCCATGAAAGCTTCTCACGGTCATCCGCCGTGAGTGGAAGAAGAGATCTCCCCACCTCAGAATGAAAGTAAGTTGGGATGTGTGGAACATGTTTGTTTGCTGATCCATTTATTCATTCTACAAACGGCTCTTGGGAATGTCTACTGTGTCCCAGGCAGTGGAGCATAGTGATGAGCTCAGTGCTCACTCCCAGGAGATCGTGGGCTAATGGAGCATGCAGGCAAGTCGACAGACCTAACAAGACAGGAAAAGAACAACCATGGCTGAGTAAAGGCATTGACAGAGAGCCCAGAGGAAAGGTTCAGAGAGGCCTGGAGATGGGTACAAGTTGACCAAGTGCTGAGGAAAAGCAGAGAGGAGTGTCATGGGTTGGAAGAACATAGTTAATTCAGTCTGGCTGAAGGGAAGGGAGACATGAGGGCCATGGCAGGAGGGGAGGCAAGCGAGAGCTATGTATGTTACAAAAGACCTTTCCTGAGTGTCTCCTGAGAATCTGGATTTTGTCCTGAAGGCAGCGAAGAGTTAAGGATGCCTAGCAGGGAAGTACCATAACCACCCTGGCATTCTAGAATGGTCCCTGTAGCAGTTGTGGGGAAACAGATTGAACGGGGTGGTTGGGCCTCTGGGAGGCTTTCTTGTCCACTGTAGTGACCCGCGCTGTTTCTGTCCTTCCTCAGGAGCAAGGTCGCCAACTGAGAAAGACCATGCTGGAACTAGAGAAGCAAGGCCTGGAGGCCATGGAAGAAATTCTGACCGGCTCTGACCCCCTGGACCCCACCGAAGTGGGGGATCTTTTCTATGACTGTGTTGACACGGAGATTAAGTTCTTTAAGTGAAGTAAGCCTTCCCTTTCCCCTTCTTATTTAAACGTTCCCACCTTACTAAATTACCAGCAAAACAAACCACTCTCCTGTGTGAGTAAAATGAGAAAGTTCAGATGTGTTAAAGTCACACTCTTGTGTTCCGCCCTGAAGCTCAGCAGTGACCCCTTCTCCTACCACGTAGCTTCCCTTCTTTTGCAATGTAACGCGTCTCCATCTGCCTGTCGTCCGACTGTATGACTGCTTGTGCACTTCCAGCCGCTCTCATTGCCTCTCAGTGACAGTGGACACATTAACCTTCTCATGGAGGACGAGGGTTCATCGGGCCTCGGGAGGGGGCTGCACAGCGCTTAAGTGTGCGGGAAAAGCAAAATCTTTTGAAGTCTTATTCTTCCTTTCAGTACTGGTTTCTTCCAGGTTGACAGAAGGCACAGGGCTCTTCTGTGTGTGCTTGAGGGAGAAGCTTCCAGGCTTCCCGTCACATGAGTGCATGCCTGTCATGCAGAGTGTCCCCACATGTGTCTGCTGAGGGACCAAACCACTGGGGAGGAACAAAGGGAGCCCTTCTGTGGTCCCAGCTCATCCTGATTCCCGGGATCATACTAGAGTCTCTACACCATGCTTGTTTGCAGGGCACCCACAGACAGCCCGTGTGTACAGGACAGCTAGTTAGTGGAGTCAGGAGTGCCCACGGGAGAGACTCCGAGGCAGCCGCATGGTGGCATACCCCACATCACCACGTGGCTCTCCCTGCCCAGCGGCGTGCCCACCCCTTGGATGTGGCTTTGGGTGCAATGATTTCGGGCCCGAGGATGGCCATCTACTTCAGGATTAATTCAGTGGCCCCATGACATAGTTCCACCCCACAAAGCTGTGGATTTCCCCAGCTGGCGAGGGAAAGAAAAGGAGAAACTCTTGACTGTCTAGATTTCAGTGAAAGTAGCTGGAATCTGAGCAGCAACAACATTATCTCTGCAGAGACTTGAATTAAACTGATTTGTTTCCATCGTCGCGTTCACGCAGAGGATTTGACTTACCACCAGAGCATAGAAGAAGAGCGTGTGAGGAGGACCAGATGGGCTCCGCATTGGGAAGACAGAGGGCAAGGAGGTGACAGATGGTTGCAGAAGCATTTCGCCGCAGGGTAGCGATCCAACCCCCAGCCAGCCTTCCTGCCCAGCTCGCTCTAGCCCACAAAGCCACGTAGGATGCAGCTGGCTCTCTCTGGCCCTTCCCACTAGTCCTTACAGCTGCTCTCAGAAGGTAGCGGAAGTGGGCAGGTGCGGGGTGGGGGGACTTCGCTCTGGCCATTGATACTCTCAAGCGCTGTGAGATGCTTGGGGGGCAGAGATGATGGATAGACGGGGAAGCAGGTATAGCCACTAGTGGAAGGACAGCAGTTCCTTTACTCCGGCCTCCCCCATGCCAGTGGGGCCCATTCACACTTCGTTACTGGTAGGAATTGGCAAGTGGAAATACTGAGAGTGTTTTTACGCTTCAAAGTGACCTAGGGTTAGTGACTCTAAGCTGACCACGGTGCATGGCAGGCTGTGTGGGCTGGAAGGGACGTGGTCTCACACACAGATTGGGCACAAAGGGCCACGGGTCTTATCAGAACACATCTTAGGCTACCAACTTCCCTTGAAGAGTGTGGGTGTCAGAGCACCACGAGCTTTTGGTCCAGCAGTTTTGTGAATTCTGGTTGTAAAATCATAAACAATGAGTGGTAGGAGGTGGGGAGGATGTTTGGGCTGAGAGAGTTAACACAGCTGTTCATGGTGGCTTGTGGTAACTGAATCTCATCCAGGGCTTTCCCTGTCGATGAATGCAGGGTCTCCTCTTAGAGGGAGCGGCCACCCTAGTGCATCTGTTTACGGATGCTAAGGCAGGGGAGGGTGAGGCTTGGCGGGGGAGGAAGGGTGACAGAGGTACCTTGCCTCTCCTAAGTCCCCCTGCTTAGTGGCTATTTAAGAAAAGCCACCGTAAAATTTCACCACATGGTTTCACCTCCACCTGTTATAGAAACACTTTATCAGATCAGAGATACCCACCGTGATTCAGGGTTTTACCAAAAGAAGTCTAGTAAGACTGCATTACACAGAGGCCTGCTTCCCTTATTATGGGCTATGCAAAGGTCATGGATAACCCATCCAGCCTATGCTGTTCCCTAGCCGCTGTGAAGTGGGAGATACAATGGCTACTTCTGTTAGGGGACATTTGGCCAGCATCTCAAAGAAGGGCCAACCCAAAATGAGAATTGTCTTAGCTAACACTGTACGTCACAATTGTGATGCTCCTGTCTTACCACCAGGGGGCGTGGCAGCCTGCCATGGCACAGCCTGGCAGAAGTTAAATGGGGCTGGGATACTTCCCTCTGGCACTGAGGGGACCTGTGTACAGTCAAACCCCCAGTAATAGCAGTGGACGAATCTTTGTGCCTGGGGGGTTGTGGGGAAAGACAAGAAGAGAGTTAGGAGTCTACTGATGCGCCTGGACTCACTTTTTGTGACTTTTACCTACTTAGGTCAACTGCTTAAAATATGTTGTTGAATTTGGGGCGGGCTGTTGGTGAGATGTTTCTTTTTAAATGCTCCTAACAGACTCTGCTTTTGAAAAATGCTTATCACTACATGGATGATTTCTTGACCAGGGATTGCTTTTCTAAAGGCAGTGTGGGGAAATGAATATTCAAGATGAACTATGAAAGCAATGTTTAAAGGTCAGTGTGTAAATAGCTTCCTGAAATACCATGTGTGTATCCATTAAGACTTGGCTGGGGGAGCTGTGCATGCTTTGTGCAGAAAGAGGACATGGCCACGATGGAATTTTTCCCCTATTCCCATGCCCCATAACCAAACATAAGCTATTTCGTCTTGTCTAGTAGATGGGATTTACCATAGATGAAGACACCCCTTATCCCCTCAGGGGGAAAGAGGCTACAGTAAAAGTAAATTAGCAAAGCAGAATAGTACTCTTAATTCTTGGGAGGCTGGTTTGGAATTCCAGGTAGAATAAGGATGTACTTGAAATTACGGTGATTCCTTAGTGCCCAGTAACATAAGACACAGTGTTACCATTAAGAAGAGTCTTTCTTACAAGCTAACTGAGCAGGTATATGCATATTAGATATTAGCAGTGAAGTTCCTTCATTATTGGGTGAATCATTAGGTATAAAAAATAATTGCCAACCAGGCAAACCACTTTGCTCCCTAACTTACATCATCCCGCTTCGGTACAGGTGTTAACACCACCCTGGCTGGCCCAGCAGGGAAACCAGGGGGGACCAATGTGGCTGCTAGGAAACCACGAACTGCGTTCTCAGCTAAAGAACAGTCAGGTCATTTGTAAGGGAGGTCTTCGGCTGAGCTCTCAGCCTTAGGAAGGAAGCACATGGAAGGAGGAGGGAGGAGAGACCCCCCCCCCACAGATGACTATTCTTGTATGGAGGGGGAGGAGTGGTGGGTCACATGCACGTGCTATCCCAGCACCACCCTGTGCATCCCCGTGGCTGACATTTCATCCTGCACAGTCCCAAGTCCCAGCTCTCCTCCTATGGCTTGTGTCAAGTGTGCTTTATCAGACTGACTTCAAACATTCCGGAATGTCACATGCAGATTTCTCATGGGAATGAGTATGTACATGTTTGCAATCATGTTGTGAGAAGTTAAATGTGTGAGCTGGAAAATGCTATTGGCAGGGAATAATAAAAAAAGAAAAATCTTTGTGTTTCCTGCAGTGGGAACTGACCATGTAGTCTTAACAGCCTTTTGTACAAACACCTATGAACCAGATAACTTCCCTATCCAGTGCTTGCCCTTGGAATTGTCTCTGAATACATCAAGCATACAATAAAAAAAAAAAAACACTCAAATGAATATCCTTGTGTTTCATGAATAAATGTGGACTTCAGTCACAAAATAGAAAATGTACGAAGGGGAATATATTTTTCTGACTGGCATCCTCAGAAAACCCAATCAGCTCAGCGTTTCCAACATGGTGTACCATTCTGTGGATAAGTCACTCTTAAAAATAAATACTAAAGCACCCATCAGGATGGTTACTATCAAAAAAGCAGAAAATAACCAGTGTCGGCGAGGCTGTGGAGACATTGGAGCCCTTGTACTGTGTTGGTGGGAGTGGAAAATGGTGCGGCTGATATGGAAAACGGTATGGCCGTGACTCACAAAAGTTGAAAAGATAGAATTAGCATATAACCCAGAAATTCTGCTTCTGAGTAGATGCCAGAAGAACCGAAAGCAAGGCCTCAGAGATGTTTGTACACCCCTGTTCATAGCAACATTATTCTTAATAGCCAAAAGGTGGAAGCAACCCAAGTGTCCACTGATGTTATTTTGAGGGAAATAAGCCAGGATCCAGAAGGCAAATATTGTCTGATCCCACTTAGATGAGGTCCCAAGAGTAGTTAAGCTCATAGAACCCCGGAAAGTGGAATGGTGGTTGCCAGGGGCTGGGAGAATGGGGAATGAGGAGTTGTTGTCAAGGCGGTAGAGTGTTTCAGTTTTGCAAGCTGATGAATTCTGGAGCTTGGCTGCACAATCATGTGAAGGTATGTAACAACACTGAACATGGTCATGATGGTGAATTTATGTCACGCATCTTATACCACAAACAGAAACCACACTAGAAATGGAAGTCCCGATTGCCAGAACATCGGTGCCATCTATGCCAAGCATCTTTATGTGAAAGCCATGGCACTGCCACTAACTAACTTCACTGAAGAGAAAGCCTAGCTGTTCCCACTCCCATGACCTAGAAATGCCACACTGCTTCCATGATTCGGTCTCCACGGTGACAGGCAAAAGGCAACTGAGTATCTTGTTCATGAAGATAGGACTTTGTCCTTGGTACAAGTGACTCATGTCAAGGTCAGAGAAGACGACCGCTCCATTTACATGACCAGGAACGGCTAGCTCTTTAAACCTTATTTCATAACAACTCTTTTTTCAGAAACATAACATTCTCCCACAAAGCTCCACAGTGACCACATGTTCGTTTGCTAGGGCTGCTGTCATCAAATACCACAGAGTGCTTGGCTCAAACCCCAGGTCGTCTCACAGTTCTGGAGGCGAGAAGTCCAAAAACAAGGTGTCCGCGATGTTGGGTCCCTCTGAGGGCTGTGGGGGAGAATCTGTCTTCATCTTCACATAGTGTCACTGTGTCTGTCCAAATCTCCCTTCTTACAAGGACACCAGGCTGACTGGATTAGGGCCCACCCCACTGCACATGGCCTCCCCTTAACCAATTACATCTTCAACAACTTTATTCCCAAAGAAAGTTACACTCTGAGATGTGGGTTTAGGACTTCCACATATGAGTTTTTGGAAGACATAATTCAACCTGTAACAGAGCAGCTTTGCGAAGGATGTGCAAATCCCTGGGGCCTGGTGTGAGAATTTGGAACTCACTCCTGCAAGTCATAGGTACAGCCCTACTCACGGAGCTGCTTCCCTCACCCTTGTAGCTGCCACCTCTGCCCCACATCACTCCATCAGCAGTTCCTAAAAGTATGGTTCCTTCACCTCCGTAGTCCATGGCTTTGACCTTCATCACCCCCTTCATGGATTATCTTGGGCCACTGCTTTTCTTCTCCACTCAGAATGGCCCTTTTGGTAGGGAAAGAGCTTCTCTCTACCTCTGCTAATAAGAGCGGCAGATAAAACTGGTCAGGTCCCTCACTTATTAGGAGGCAGCGTGTGGCAGCGAACTTTGAAATGAGTTTCTAGATGAGACTTATTTCTGGAAGTCTATGAATTTTAATTACTGTTTTTTCCTTGCTATCCAGCAGCAGAGCCAGTGGGGGGGGGTGCTCTGAGCTGCTCTGTAACAGTTGAAGTGGAATGCAAGGGTACAGCCAGGGTGAGCTGTCTGGGACTCAGCTGAAATGAGCAAACTTGTCCCCTAGAGTGCGGGGTACGCTCATCCCTGCATCTGTTGGGACCCAAGAGTGCAGGGCTTCTTTAGGTCTTAATGTTACTGCATCTTGACCACTACATGCTTAGGTCCATATTTGTGTCCCTGTTTTACACATGAGGAAACTGAGGCACACACTAGTTATGTAATTTACATCCCCAAACTTGTAAGAGGCCAAATAGATCTATGTTTGACTCTAAGCCAGCTTACCTAGCAGGTGAACGTCATCTCCCCCGCACCACATACCAAAGAGGCCACCTGAAAATACTAGAGTGGAGATTGAGGATACTGCCTCATACAGATGTTTTGAGGGGTTTGCTAAGTTGGGGCAGGTGCTCAGTGCACTTTAGGTCAAAAGCTGTTCCATTTTAACACAAATTAGAGGCATTCTATAAGCAATACTCTGCCCATTTTCTATGAATAAAACAATATAGTGTTACCTTTTTTTTTAAGAAAATGCATTTCAGACATATTTTCCCTTGGATTTCCCTCAATACCCATCAGTTCAGTTTAGCTACAAAAACTAGGAATATATTATTATTATTTTTAAAGATTTATTTATTTGAGAGAGTAAGAGAGCAGGAGCAGGGAGAGGAGAGGGAGAAGGTGAAGCAGGCTCCCTGCTGAGCAGAGAGCCCGATGTGGGGCTTGATCCCAGGACCCTGGGATCATGACCTGAGTGGAAGGCAGATGCTTAACCATCTGAGCCACTCAGGGGCCCCAAAACTTGGAAAACATTATACAGGTTAGTTAGAAATGTCAGCTCAGAAAAGAAAGGCCTCATTTCAAACACAGTGTGTCACAGCCGGCATTGGGTTCTGTGTGAGTACCCTTCATGTCCCTTTTTTTTTTTTTTTAAGAATTTATTTTATTTGACAGAGAGAGAGAGTGGGAAGGGCAGAGGGAGAAGCAGACTCCTTGCTGAGCAGGGAGACTGATGTGGGGCTCCATCCCAGGACCCTGGGATCATGACCCGAGCCGAAAGCAGATGCTTAACCTAGTCACCCGGGGCCCCCGTGTCCCATCCTTCTTAGAAGCCCTTCTAACCCTGAAAAATGGTTGGCTTAGGTCAGTACTCGTGACCCTCGATGGGTTTTAGCAAGGACATGGCAGAAGCATTTCCACTTATTAAAGTTTATTAGATACAAAGAAAGGACTCTGCAGAGGGCACATCAATAAATATAAAATACATATGAAACATGGGGGAGCCACAGACGACAGGGTCAGTGAGAACACTGGAGTGTGGCAAGAGCTCTGGAACTCGTTGGCTCTGCGTGAGTTTATGGTCAAGGGGCTTGAGGTCTGTCCTGCCAGCAGCAGGCACCGCACACACTGAATTCAGTGACAGGTCTCGAGGAGAGATGGGAGGCCAGATTCCTGAGATTTCTCCCTAAAGCTGCAATTTCTGGTTTCTGCCCCTCCCTTCCCTCTGTCCTTGATAGGTTTTGTTTTTAACTTCTATCCCAGGGGTGTGGAACGTGAATGCATAAACATCTCATGGGGGAGCCAGTCTCCTCGGAAGGTGGACTTGCCTTTGTCTTGGGCCTTCTTCATCATGATAATTAAAACCCTTGTAATTATTTTCCTACAGCTGGGAGGGAGATGGAGCGGATCCCGTTATAATAAAGAAATCTCGACCTTTTGGAAACCTTCCAGAACCAATAAAACCAATCAGCTATGCCCAGAGCTGCTGACCTGCAAAAGCTTCTTTTCCAATTGAGTTAGCAGTCACAATCTGACATGACTGATTCCCCAGAGAAGGGCACTTGACCTTGCTCAGCTGCTCCTCTCTGGAATGAGAAAGCACAACAATGAAGGATGCCATCTTAGTCTTTAGACAACAGCTAAGTGTACGCAGTCACGTTTGCCCAAACCCTGCTAACCGGCTACCTGTTCTGGATGGCTTGGTCTGGGCACGGTGTCCTTCAGGTCTGAGCACATGAGTGGGTTGTTCCAAAGGACACTTGTTTTTCCACTGCTCTTTCTGCACCCGCCCCCCTTTTCCTTTAATCTGCACCTATTTTGAGCACAGACCTGGGGTCAGTCTGTTTCCTTCTATTTTCTCTCCTTCCCCTTCTACAGCTTCCCCTCCAAGGACGGGGAGCATCTGGGGTCAGGTGCAAGCAAACACACACTTCCATTTCCTTGCCAGCTCCAGAAAAAGGGTGTGAGAACAGCAGCCAGAGCCCTTCCCCACCAGTTCCATATTCAGGGGTGGCCGGCCTTGGGCACTTCTCCCCAACAGAGAAGTGCGCCCCCCACAGGGCAGCGGGAGCTCTGAGACCCATCAGGCCCTCTTTAGTTGGGAAGGGAGCTGCGTTTGCCTGGTGGGGGCTGCCAGGCTTCCTAAGCACAGGAGTGAGGCACCAGGTCGGTGAGGCAGATACTTGGCCAAGAGGCTTTTGTCTACACTTCCTCATGTCCTAGTTTCCATGAAAATCCCATTCTTGGGGAGAAAAAAAAAACAAACAACCATCTCTGAGATAGAATATGTAATTGACTATAATAATGAGTTACATAGGTTTCTAACTTGCAGAAAAAAAAAAACAAACCTAAATCTCATGAATCTCGCCTTACCCTGGAAGCCAGGAAGGAGTTGGGAACTTAGGCGGGACAGGAGGAAAGCCAGGGGCACGTGGGCACCGGGGGCACTGTAAACAGGAAGGGCGTTGGCTACTTGTAGGAGCTTTCTGTTACAAAAGGGCCCTGTGCTTGGCATCGGAGGGGCCAAGCCCACTCTTGCCTTTCTTTTGGGTCATATTTACATGAGGCAGAAAAAAAAAATCCCTGTACTGCAAAACGGAAGCGAGACATGGCATCTCGTTCACCGGAGGCTGTGTGGCCTTATCTGGGTGGGGGGACACACTGCTCTCTCTGAGCTGCAATGTTTATAAGGCATTACTGGGTTTGATTTTGCAGTGTGTGTGTGAGGAGAATATAGAATCATGCCGATAAGAAGCCGCTGTGGGGACTATGACTTTGGGACTACTTGCAAACGAGGGAATCTTCTAAAAATGGTTCAGAATCTAGGAAGGGCCAGTCCACACGCATTATTTACAGTCATGGAATGGACACCATGGGGCGGGGACAGGGCGCTATCGGTATGATGGATGAATGCCAAGATGCATCCTTGGAAAATGGAGAAACATAATACGGGTGTGTTTTTTTTAAATTATGCAAATAAGAGCTGTCATACTGATTTAAAGCCTGTGCAAACCACGTATTTACAATAAATATATGCTCCACTCAGAGCTTGCATGTTAAATGAATTGCAACTTAAGTATGGCAAGGCCAGACACGTTCTTCTGGGGAAGCCCATCTGGCGATGTGGACCCCCAGGCGGCTCACAGGACATTGGCTTCCTCTGTCTTCTCACCGGAGTGTCTTTAGTGATAACTGTGGAAAGACAGGAACATTATGAGGGGGATCTGGAAGACTCCACACACACACACACACCCTGGGGCTGGGCACCACAGCCTTCCTGCATTCATACGAGGCTGCCAGGTTCTGAGGGTCCCGTCAGATGCAAGGGGCTGATTTTGACCCAGGGGTTTGTGGGTGGGAAAGGGATGAAATGGGACAAAGAGTTGATGGCGTCTCAAGACGTACCGCCATCTTGGAAACAGACATAAGACCAAACACCAGCATGTGACAGAAACTCAAGAAAAACTAAGAACTTGCTGGAGATCCCAAAAGAAGGCAAAGGTAAAGACACAGGGCCCCAGGCCTTCAGATTTCCAGCCCAGGACTCCCACCCATGCACAGATCACTTGGGTCTCTCCACCATAAAAGAAGAGTGCCCCCTGGGGGGCAGTTTACGATGTCTAGAACCCTGTGAGCTCTCTGGGTGACTGCTTTTTGTCTCGCTGACGTGACTACTATCTCCCTGAGCGGATGCCTGTTAATTCTGTGTATAGTCTCCCTGTTTTCTTTTGCCCTGTGCTTATCTATTTCTCCCTTAACTGCAATCAGACAGCCATTTTGAGCCTTTGATTGTCTGAGTGATTATCACAATTCTTAGCTCAGCTGTGGTTAGAAAAGGTGGTGCTTGTCCTCCTGCAAGAAACTCATCCCCATGTCCAGGGCCTTGTCCCCTTCTCATATCCCTTGCTGTGCTGTTCCAGGGGGCTGCAGGAGGACCCAGCTGAATGGCGGGCCACCCCCTTTGCCACACAGAACTCTCAAACAGGAGGAGGCCAGGGTACAACTAAGGGCCTTTATTTATTTTTTTTAAAGATTTTATTTATTTATTTGACAGAGATCACAAGTAGGCAGAGAGGCAGGCAGAGATAGGAGGAAGCAGGCTCCCTGCCAAGCACAGAGCCAGATACGGGCCTCGATCCCAGGACCCCGGGATCATGACCTGAGTGGAAGGCAGAGGCTTTAACCCACTAAGCCACCCAGGTGCCCCAACTAAGGGCCTTTAAAGATGAGATTCTGTCGTGAGCAGATGTCATCTCGGCCCGGGGTTAGGAGACAGTCTGTCCAAGCTGCCTTGTGTGAGAAGGAGGGCATTTTTTCACAGACTGTCTTATCCCACAAGAACCCGTCTGGTTCCCCTCCCAGCTTCCTCTAGCCACCAGGACTTGAATCGTGACTACATTTGGCCAAAGGAAATGATCGAAACGATGGGAGAAAAACCCCCACAGGGGCCATGAGATACCCTGTACTCCACAGAGGAGACAGAACCCTGAATCACGCTTGGTGCACATCGCAGAGTAGTATCTGATCCGGCCTCCTCAGCCACTGTGACCAGGGAAGAGGGAGCGGGGAGGGAGTGGGGTGACCGCTAAAGAAGGGCTCCAAAGGGCTTCTGGGTGGCCAGCCTTTGTTCTGGAGGTGGGGGGATTCTGGGGAAGCCCCCCTTTCCCTCTTCAGAGTTTGAAAATGTATGCATTTCATTCTAGCTGGAAACAAAAGTACACCAAACGGCTTTCCCCGAGGACAAAAGAATCTGTGCAAAGCATGTTAAGCTTTAGGGACCAAGCACACTCTCGGCATTTCTGGGCTCCCTGAGGAGAACTCCTGCTTTTACGTTCAGAGACCTGAGGAGGTGTTACCTGAGAATTTCTGCCTTTGATGTCATCCGAGCTCTGCCCTGTGGCCTCTGTGTGCAGCCAGGGACCAGGCGTGCGGCCTGAAAGAAACAGGAAAGATCTTCGCTGAGAAACTCAGACTCTGCTGGCGCTCAGAGCAACAGCAGAGGGACCAAGGGTACCAGGAGCCCGTCAGCCTGAAACCTCCAGGCGCCTCCCCGCCCTAGGCTGAGTGTTTCCGCCCACTGCTTCCATGGCCCAGCCTGGATGCAAAAGCATCTCGTCCAGTCTGCTGGAAGGGGAATAGGTTGTTATAACAAGCTTCATAGCTCAGAACAAGCCACCATCTCCAGAATGGCTCATTTGTCCAGTATGCACTGTGTGCCAAGCGCCGTGCTAGGGTTGGTTAAAAAAGGGAATAAAAGGTAATTGTATGCTGAAATAAATCATGCTTTCTTCTAGGAGCTTGGATTCTTTCTTGAGCTCATTCTCTAAAATGTATTTTGCTTAAATATCACACAAGTTACATATAAATATATTCTCATAATGAAGGGGTCAAAGAATATAGAGGAAGACAATAGGGAATAAAACATCCGAGCACCCTCAAATGCCTCTTCTTTGCCTAATCCCTGTTTCTATCCCAGAGTCCCCACTACTCGAAGCTTTCTGTTTATCCCTCCAGATTTTTTTTTTCTTTTTGGCATTTACTTATATGTGTGTATATGTGTCTGTGTGGTTTGGTTGGTCTAGCCCAGTTTTAACTCCACATTCCCAGCCATTCCAGAACGTTCCCTGTGAGTTCCATGCTCCAAATGGCATCCCTTGTGGCTCTTTCTCTGCGGCACACAGTACAAGGCTTTTCCGTTCTGCCTCTGTCCCGGACGGGGAATTAAATAACCACATCCCAAAGCCCTCCAGACAATCCAGGTTGCTGTGTTCCTTACAGAGCACTGTGAAAAGCAGAACTATTCATCTCAGATCATTTACAATGGTGAAAAGGTGATGATGCCCCACGTTCCACAAATCTAGGAACTCCAGGGTTCACTAACTGTATGATGGAGTATGAAGTGGCCGTCTGAATGTTTACGAAACAAAATAATTTGGGGTGATGTCTGAAATCGAGGAGAAAGAAAGCAGACTAGAAATTGTATAAGCAGGATGACCTCAAATACTTAAAAAGATGGAAATAGTGTATTGAATGGATTCCTCCTGGATTTACTGTTGTTGTTGCTTTTTAAAAATCTCTTAAACAGGGGCGCCTGGGTGGCTCAGTGGGTTAAGCCGCTGCCTTCGGCTCAGGTCATGATCTCAGGGTCCTGGGATCGAGCCCCCACATCGGGCTCTCTGCTCAGAAAGGAGCCTGCTTCCTCCTCTCTCTCTGCCTGCCTCTCTGCCTGCTTGTGATCTCTGTCTGTCAAATAAATAAATAAAATCTTAAAAAAAAAATCTCAAACATAATTTGTACAGTGAACATATAAGTCATCTTAGGAATCTGTTAAGGTAAGATCTAGTTTTTAAAGTGAGCTAGCACAGAGAAGGGTCTCTGCAACTTACAAAACATTAATCCAACGGACACTGAAATTTTCATGAAAATACTTTTTAAATCAATAAGCGCCTTTGTTCTAGGATAAAGATACTTTTGGGCAAATGACATAAGGAGTAGATTTTTAGTCAGTTTATTAACTACGTTAAAAGTAAGACACTGGGGAGCCTGGGTGGCTCAACTGGTTAACCGTCTGCCTTCAGCTCAGGTCATGATCCTGGGGGCCTGGGATCGAGTTCCTGCTCAGTGGGGAGCCTGCTTCTCCATCCATCCCTCACCCCACTTGTGCTCTCTCTCTCTCTCTGCCAAATTAATAAATAAAATCCTAAAAAAAAAAAAAGTAAAAAGACACTGATATATAGCCCTTGACTTAATTCCATGTGGCAGAATGGCCTTGAAATTACTTCTTCGACATAAGAAACTTCAGCCTACTACAGAAAAGCCTTCCTCTAGGCCAGGGTTTCTTAACTTGGCTCTCCTGACCTTGTGGGCTGGATAACTCTTGGTTAGGGGGCTGGCTGTGTGCTGCAGCCTGTGGGACACATCCCTGGATGCCAGGAGGACCTTCCCCAGCCCCCAGAGCATTTGTAACAACAAAAAATGTCTCCAGCCAGTGCCATGTGTCCTGCAGGGGGCAAAATCCTCCCTTTGGAGAACCACTGGGCAATAAGACAGGTTTCTCTGTAGGAAACTGGTGCCTGCTAGTTTTCATAAATACGACTGGAAACAATAGCAGAGCTAAAGGAGAACCAATTTCTTCGTAAAACAGGAAGGAAAATTTTGCATCTTGCTAGAAAAGAAACTTTACTGCTGCTAGAAGTGGGTGGCCAGGGGTTAGGGTTACTTGGGGTGCTTTTTTTTAAAATATATTTTTTAAAAGATTTTATTTATTTATTTGACAGACAGAGATCACAAGTAGGCAAAGAGGCAGGCAGAGAGAGAGGAAGGGAAGCAGACTCTCTGCTGAGCAGAGAGCCGAATGTGGGGCTCGACCCCAGGACCTTGGGATCATGACCTGAGCCGAAGGCAGAGGCTTTAACCCACTGAGCTACCCAGGCGCCCCAAGATTTTATTTATTTATTTGAGAGAGAGGGAACACAAGCAGAGGCAGTGGGAGAGGGAGTGGGAGAAGCAGACTCCCCCACTGAGTAGGGAGCCTGACGCGGGACTTGATCCCAGGACCCTGAGATCATGACCTGAGCCAAACGAAGGCAGACACTTAACTGACTGAGCCACCCAAGTGTCCCATTTTAATGTAAATACTGCCTTAGGGGATTTTTTTTCTGCTCTGAGATGACATTAGGATCGCTAGGATTCAAAAAGGAGAGCTCTTCTGCTAAAAAGTCCTTTATAAGGGCTGTATTTTCACAGACGAGTGTTTCAAGTTCACTAAAACACACGCTTTCAAAATTTGGGAACACCAACTTCTACTATGAAATACCATTTACCTCCCCACCAGACCCCACGTGCGAGGGCCCTCAGAGCAGCCCAAGTGACCCCAGCTGCGGCCTCCCGGCACACGGATGCCCCTCTGCCCCGGTGCTGAGCACAGCAGCCGGATACGAAAGCCTTCTCTGAACTTCGAGGCTTAGAGAAGAAAGTCTGTGCGAGGACTGAAGGCGCAGAGGCCTGAGGGCCAAGCTGGCTTCCAGGTTTATTTTTTCTCATTTGTCAACCAAGCCAGTCTGTGCCTTTATCCAGGCACAGAGATACTCCATATCAGAGAAAAAGAAATCCATTCTGCAGCCGACCAACAGGAGGACAGACACTGCAGGACCTGGAGAAGGGCCGGAGAGGATTCCCAGATGTGGCTGGCTGCTCAAGCTGGGTCTGAGAGCCAGCCTTGCAGTGTGACCCCTGTGGCCTAGGGAGTTGGGTTAGAACAGACTGGACTCCTAGGAGAAGCAGATCTGACCGGCAGCTCTGGGCCAGCACAGTCTCTCCAAGCTAAGGGCTACGTGGCACAGGGTGGAGAGGTAGCAAGGTGGGGTGCACAGAGCACTGGACACGGAGCAGAGAACCTTAGCCCAGAGCCCCAGCTTTTTTGGAATCTAAATTGAATCTAAATTCAATTAACCAATATATAGTACATCATTAGCATCTGACGTAGTGTTCAATAATTCATCAGTTGCATGTAACTGCGAGTGCCCAGTGCTCATGACATCCCATGCACTCCTTAATGCCCATCACCCTGTTACCCCACCACCCTCCAACGTCCCCTTCTGCAGCCCTTGGTTTGTTTCCCAGAGTCCAGAGTCTCTCATGGTTTGTCTCCCTCTCTGATTTCTTCCCATACAGTTTTCCCTCCCTTCCCTTATGATCTACACTATTCCTTGTATTTCACATATCAGGGAAACCATATGATAATTGTCTTTCTCTGACTGACTTATTTCCCTTAGTATAATACCCTTCCGAGCTCCATCTTTGCCACCGGCTGTGACCAGGGGCGGCTATCCTATTTCTGCCCCGGTTGCTTCAGCTGTATATGAAAGAATTGGGCTGGACGACCTCAAAGAGCCCTTCTGTTTTAACCCTGGGGGCCTCTCACAGTCTCTAACCAAAGGAAATGACAGGTTTCACTGCAAATGATATTTCTAGCATCTGCCAGACCTAGATGTTAGAAGGTGCATATCTGGCCTTTCCTCTCCTCCCCGACTGTCATGTCTTAGTTGAGGCTGGTATGAGCCTTGCTCGCCACTCCTTCCAGACCACATCCCGCTTGTACAGAACTCAGCGGGGTTACCCCGTGTACCACGGGGCCACGTTTCTCCTCCACAAGTAACTCAGACCAGGCGCTGGCCAGAGTCTCCCTCCCAATAATTTGGAAATTTTAGAATTTTAAAATTAGTTTTAATGATTATTAAAAGTAATATGTATTTGTTACAGAAAACTTGGACAAAATCGTGAAGCCTAAGGAAAATTAAAATCACCCAGCCTTCTACCATTGAGCTCACTTCAATGGATGTGCTTCTAGCCTCTTTTCTATTTGGTCAACACCTTTCCCTTTCCCTCTCCATATGGATTTGCAAAGTCATTTCCTTGTTTAGATTAAATTTCAGTTCTATTTTATGTACTTCTAGTGTGCTGGGTGTTTTGCTTTTACTTCTCAAAGTTGTGTTTGCATTTTCTCATGTCACTGAATATTCAACAACACTCCTTGGGAAGCATGGGATTCTATCCTGTGGCTCTCCTTAATGTATTTAACCCCATTATTGGAGATCTGTGCTGTTTTCCAGTTTTTTATTCTGTAAATGGTTTTGCAATGTATATATGTATGGACAGTCTCATCAATTTTCTTTTTAGAGAGAGAGTACATGCGTGTGCATGAGCTGGGGGCGGTGGGCAGAGGAAGATGGAGAGAAGCGATCCCAAGCAGGCCTAGTGCAAATCTCAGATCAAAGATCCTGACTTGAACCAAAATCAAGAGCCAGACGCTCAACCGACTGAGCCACCCAGGCACCCCGACTTTCTTGTCTATTAATTCAACAAGTATTTATCAAGTGTCTGTGTGCCTGGCCCCATTCTGGGAGCTGGCGATAGACCCCAGTGCGTAAAAAT